TAGAAGACTCTTCAAAGTTGGCAAATCACTTAATTCCTTCAAAAACACTGTCAAAACGAAATCATTCCTTAATTGCACTTCCGATAAAGTGAGAGTGCTTTTCGTGTTTAATAGTTAATATATTAAATCGATTGAGCGCTTAAGGAATCTGAGGCCAAGCTTTTGCCAATCTGGTGAATTGAAACGGCCGAATCAATTTTGTTCGTCGGCTTTTTAAGTTGATGCAGTACCTCGCCCATCACAAAGCTCCATCTGTACCGGGCATAAATCGTGTGCGTCATCCGCATTCGGTTGTTAATGCCCGGCTGCGCGCACAGGAAAGAAGGAACAATCGTTGACTGCGAACGATATCAACGGTTATGTACCTTAATTTTGTCTGAAATTAGGCAGATGAAATCCGCTATGACAAGCTCGTTATTGTATTCCATGCTATCTACGTGGGGCGGTTGCGCAGATTTTGTATGTTGTTCTTCCCGGAAAAGTCATCTTCACGGCACTTCAGTGCATCCCCCACTGTAATCAGGCTGCAGGCAAAAGGCTACCATGATGTACCAAAAGTTGTGACTTGGAATGCTGCCAATTGACGGGGTAACTATGTCCTCTTCGTCAAAACTGTATGTGCACGTGGGGTGGCTGGATAGACGGCTGATAGTCAGGCTCAATGGCTCTCTCTTACTTTGGCCTTTATGACATCCAGGAACGTGAGATCCGATCCGCCCCTTTTTGCGAAAGGCCGGCACATTGCGCGCAGACAAGACCATGCGTGGCACGCGTAGACGGATCCATTGGCTTTGGGTCTGTGCTCACCTCCGCCTTGCCATCGGGCCCAAGTGGGCGAAGGGGAGAGTGAAAAATTTTCCGCGGATGTCTGCTATTACTACAAACTAGATCATACGTTAGCTACCATCCTGTGCTCACTATGCTGTGGGGCAAGCGGTGGACATCGTCGCATGCGACGGCAGAACTCTCATGCTCTTCGCTGTTCACACTAACGAGCTCGATGCCTCTACTCCCAACTCCAGGCGACGAGGAGACTGGCGCAAGACTGGACTTAAAGGAACCCGCTTAACACCCTAGGTGATTCCTAGGCCACCATATTTTCTTCATTGGTGATGTGCGTTGAGTGCACCGAATCTGTTCCAACAGGTATTGCGCAAGGAGGGAACTATGTGGGACATCAGAAGAGCCGACTAGGTAAAGCATGCTCAAAGCAGTACCCAGTTCAACTGCAAGTAAGAAAGAGTGACTCACAGAAGGTAGCATTTTGGTAAGGAGCATAGTCAAAGGACCATGTGGATGTGATGTTTATTGATCCGGCCTGGGTGCGGGGAATGCCGCCGTTTGTATTTGCCTTGGTAGTTCAATCTAAATTACTTTCGGGCTGTTGCAAAACGGCAGTAAATCAATAACATAAGCGACTTGTAAGGACACCAGCACACCGCATAACGGCATGATGGAGTGTCCATAAACCGTCCCACAAATAAATCACAGAGCCAAACGTCATTCTCACGCGGGTTGGGATACTTTTTAATCGCGGCTAGGAGGGTGTTATCCCTTAACTATGTCGTAGATCGTTAGGCACAATTTAGACTCGAATTTTGGGTCTTTCCGGCCAGCTGTCAGGCTATAGTGGGATGACGAGGAGAAATAGACCGGAAATAACCATTCCGAGCTCCCTTGCTTTCGCGGGTTACGTCTCTTGATTATGCCAGAAAAGACATTAATTGCAAAATATCATTTGGTGCTGGTTTTGCGTGCCTGTGATTCCCGGTACTCGAGCCTGAGATTTCCGTTCAATCCTTAATTTATAGTGTGACACACCGACTGCGTTGTACGTAGGACATATTAACGCACAGCAATAACGAAAATACACCGACTCGGGCCACTTTTAGAGCTTTCTGGAAATGTTATCCAACTCTTAACCGCCAAGATCTGCTAGTCAGAAACGCGATCAACAGGCACACCGTATACAGAAAAATGGAGGCACTCAATAAAAGGAATCTACGATGACCTCATGCATATATGCATGTATATTTCAGACTGCAGCATTATGCTCCACGTAGAACGGTAGCGTAATTTCGGGGCCCTTGAGGAGGACGAAATGCACTGACGATGGTAAGTCCACAACATCGTAAATATTTAAAAATGCACACCAAAATGTTTCATCAGTATACGCCCACATTTTACAATAGGATCAGCAACTAGATGAATGTTGCACACCGTGGTCTTTAAAGTACGCATTAGAATCCAGATAACGATTCTAAGGCTTACCTGCCAAGACGTCGAAAATGCACTCATTAATGCAGTATTTTTGAAATAACGATCCGCCGAAGAACATCGAGGGAAGGAAGACATTCTGTACATTACGCGGGGATTGCTTCGCCGAGTTTTTTGCAGAGGGACAATTTTCATTTGGCATGCCCTAAGACGTGACCGTAGGGCTCGAAGAGATGATCTTATAACGACAATCAGTGATGCCAAAGAAAACCTGACCAAGAGGAGGTACTTTACAATGGTCTTTTTCGGCTATCGTTATTCAACCATTCCGGAGCCCCTAACTTCCATAACCTGGCTTTTGAGGTTGAGCCCTCTATTCATCGGGCAAAGGGTTGCATGCCCTTCCGTGGGAGAACGACTGGTTGACGCCGGTTAGCTGTGAGAAAATGGGCATTCAAAGCTCTTTTGTCTATATCGGCAAGCATTCTGCAGCATTCTCTATTTTTGGGATTATTAACATACACAAAATGCCAGTTGGCAACTGCCAACATTCGGTTCCGCCAAATTAACTTTTTCATTCGACGACTGGCTTATTTGTTCATTTTAATTTTCAGGAGTTTTGAAGAAAAGTGCAAGCATTTGTCCATGGCTTTAGTTTCAAAGGCCTTCTTAGAATGTGAAAGATTGTTTGCGGTAAGGAAACTTTTACTGCCCCTTCCTAACAATTAATTTTGACCCAATTAATGGCCAGATGTTCTGAGTCAGCAGCACGAGTATGTAGAATTTGGTCGTTTTCCGCCACTCTAATCTTGATCATATTCCAAAACGCCCTGGAAAAATGCTTTTACTTTCCCCAGGCATTAGATAGAAAGATAGACAAGAGCGCCTTAGCCTGGCCCTCTACGTTCGCATACGGATTCGACACAGTGTCTGGATGCCGGTCACGTTTTAGCCGCTGAAGTCAAAGTTGAAAAGGCTTGTCTAGCAATCTGCCTCCCTCGCATCCATCTGCCTGCGTGAAGCGTCTCCGCGAAGATGTCTGCGGAAAATCGGATCGGCGCTGCAGGCAATGCACAAAACTGGCGCCACATTCTGTCCTGGTTTTAGAACTTTGATGACATGGCGATGGTTTCAAGTCATACATCCAGCAACTGATAAACAAAAATTGCCGGTACATTGAAAGGCTATACCCGGTTTCTTTTTCGTGGGCTGAACAAGTAGACAGACTATATGGGCAAATTCAGCCCACATTCCTCAGGACCGATTCGTAACTGCCGAGTTATTCATGTGAGCCTGGGTGTAGAAAGGAGGAATCTTCTGTCGTCAGTTTTCTTTTGTCTATTTCTTGGTTTATTTTCAAGTGACCCTTTTTCCCTGCAAAAGGCACTGTTTACCCTACCAGACGCAGAGTCCTCAAGCACCGGCAAGTGGCACGTCAAACTGAATATGACAATTAGCAGCAAGCCTAGTGGCCTTTCGGAAGGGGATTTGCATACATTCAACCTAGAATTCGGACAATGGGCACGAAACCCTATCGGTGTTCTCAGTCAAATACTCCTCGCTGGGAAGACCAGTTGGTAAACATGCGCACGTCTGGTCGATTCAACTATGTCGGATGCCTGCGGCTGTCAATCGATCTTCTGAATTATTCAGTGGGGATTTTCGCAGAACTCTCCTCATACTGGACTTAGTGTATGGTGACGCATTAGACGTAAGAACAGCTCCATGCCCGCAAAAAATTAACTAGTATAATCAACAGCGCCATTTCACATTAACACACTTCATCTCGTTTTCTGCTGCCTAGGGTCTTACCATATAGAAACAGAATCCTACATATCTCTAAGTAGGCAAATATAGTGCCTTAGCTCGCGCATTTTAAGTCGACACAGGAAGAAAACAAGCTTCGCGAGTACGGGAACCACCTATGCATTTATTTAGAATGGGCTGTGGTAAGAAAGTGGCAACCATAAGACACCTTAATAAATTACGAATCGATTTATCAGGACTATAGAAGACTGAGCGAGATACAGTGTTATGATGGATGGTTGTCTTTATACTTTGCGTTTTAGCGTCACGCCGAAGAGTGTACATAATTCTATTTGAGTTAGCTTTATTATCACCATAAACGACTTCAATCTAACGGTCCCAGTCGTCTTCTAAGGAAAATGCTGAAGTCATCGAAGATGGTGGAGCCACCTATGCCGCTCCAACCTCGAAGTACTGTCTCGGAGCTTCGGAAAAAGGCTTGAGAGATCTGCCTATGAGGTCGTATGGTCAGGAAATGAGGCGTAACGATTCGGTCGAGGATAATATAATATTGACATTCCTTTATATTCAATTTGCCGACGTTACACAGAAAAAGAACATGAAAGATCAACATCGTTGCTCGCTGTACGGGAAAGTTTCACCTAATTATGTAGGCATCAACTAAGGATTGTGATCTAACCCACTGCATCCACAACGGAAAATCAAGTCGAAACTATTGGTTTTCCAGTTTTCTGCTGCTGTAACCAAGTGCATGGCAGAACGTCGTAAGTCTGTATGCTTAGGCTAACATCAATAATAAAAAACAGGATTAAAGCGGATTAACCCCGTACCGGGCCATCAGATGGATTCGATGAGCTACAGCAAGGTGGGACAACTGAAATAACTGGAAGACAAAGTAGACAGTGGTAATGAAGGGGGACTTAATGATGATTATGATCATAGTCAAAAAGAAAACCAGGAGAAAAACGGCTGAGCAAAATAAAATCGACACTCGTAGATAAAACAACTGCTAAGTATCACTCACCATTGATGTCGCTCTCTCCGACATTAACTGTCAGTTCGCCCGTCCCATTGACGGTGTTTGGGGGCAGAAAAGTCGCCTTCTCGGTTCTTCCGAGGTTGGGAGTGGTCGTTTTCAAGTTAGGAGCATCGCCGCTGCCAGCTTCTTTCCCGTTAGCGGCATGCCAATAATTGTCACCGTTCTGACCGCCAAAATCATCCCGCAAGACCACATTAGGACCGAAAGAGTCATGTAGGGAAGAAGGAGGGACACAAGTGACGCAATAAAATTTGTCATCCTTGGCCACTGTCTTCTCACCCGTGTGAAGAAGCCGTCTTAGAGGGGAAAGGATAGTAGGGATTAAAGGCTATCAGTAGGGAAGTGGGTGGCGAAAGCACTCAAACTCTTCATGTACATAGAGTTGCTTGTTCGCCAAAACACTCTAAAGGCTCAATGGGTGATGATTTGAAGAAAATTGGAAATGCGATCGCAGTACCAGTTCCGCAACGTTTAAGTTGGCATTGCTGTTGCTGAGCGAGACCTTAGTGCCTTTAACTGCTGGGCCTCACAGCTATTTCTTTTGTATTTTAGGCTTTGCAACGAACATGTTGTGGTTAACCAGAAAATGATAATTACTCTTATGGGCGCAAAAACCCTCATTCTGCCAGGCTAACATCATAAGCCCGCATGAAGAGGCCTTTGAACGGGGACAAAGCTGAACGCGTCTTCAGTGTAAATAAACTCGTCAAAATCGGGGTTAAAGCTCCGCAGGTGTCATCAGTTTCCGAATAGCTACATGCCCGTATTGAAGCTTAGCGTTTACAGTATGCTCAGGATACAGAAGCGATACAGAACTGGGAAAGTTAAAGAGCTTGTTAAACGTTATAAACCTAATCGATGGAGGCGCCTGTTTGGCAGGTTCCTAGTGAAATGTATCGAATTATGCTAATGGAACCACCTCAGATTAAATGAGTTATCTATTCATGGTAATTTCGAAAGATGCTTATCCGGAACTTCCTGCTGCTTAGATAAGAAAAGGCTTCAAAATCTTATGCGAAACCCTTTAGTGATAGGGAAACCAGTTGTATCTTGTTGCATTTTGACTGGTTTTCTATGCAAAAACTACCGATCCTCTCCTAGTTGTCTCGATCTCATCGTACTACTGAATCGTGATTACTCTCTAAGATGCTTTTAAGGTCAAGCGTGCGCAAATTTCCTCATGATAGTCTAAATATCATGCGAAGGTCATCGCTGTCTTTCGCGACACTACTTCTTGCCGTACTAGACAGGGAACGCATTTGCAAAAGTTTAAGTTAACGAAAGCTTATATGATGAAGTTCTCTAACGCTTTTGACCTCAAAGTGCAAAACAAAATCCAAGAAAAATTGTAAGCAGCGTCAACTTGCCTGCACACATGACATCGAAGGCAGTCAGGATGAAAAGATTTCTCTAAGGCCGTGCTCACATTGCCTTCCAGAGACATGCCGCAACCGCTGCACTTTAGGCTGAATTCCCGGCGAAAGTCCTCCTGACAATAAAGTTGCTTCCCTTTCATGTGAAATTTGGCCTCTTCTAGGGCCTTGCCACACTCTGTGGCAAAATGTGAAGACACTAACCGCGTGCTTACTTGAACACTTGAAACACCCCTTATGAACGTGTTCCTGGTCAATTTTTAGGACAGTGCCCCTACACCGCCGATGACAAACGAGGCAGTTTATCTTGCCTGCAGGATGAAGAGATAAATATAAAAATCTCACTTGTAGACATAAAATAAGAATTTGTCTGTTTAAAAGGATATGTTTCTTCAAGTATTCCCGAGACCAATAGTTCTAAACAGTGGCCTTTCCGAAAGACATGTGTGTGGTGCAAATTGTCATATGTTTATTCACATACGACTCATAAGGTTTTCCTCAAAATTCCTATCAACAACCCTCTTATTTTGTGGGTGCTGGCATTAAAGCAATTTCATAAGTAGAGAGTTTAAAATGCAGGCGTCTAAACCCTCATGTATGTGCGCAATTTCTTCTGCGAACGCTATAAGTGGGCTCTGTGAGTAAAATCGGGTGAGCAACCTACCGCAGTCTAAGTTGAACAAAATTAAACGGCCAATGTTAAAAAGTTATTTAATGACATAGTAAATAAAAGAACAGCCTGTAGTGCCACAAATAAAACTTTTCGTTCTAAAACGCATACATTCAATACTTTTCCATTCATTATACTACATTATTCTCTTATAATTAGAATTCCCAAAACGAAACAGCAGTGGACGTCGTCGGCAGCGACGGCAGTGTTATCTTCACCAACCTTGCGCGGTCATTCCTCAATACAACAGAAAAAACGTATTTAATCGTCTGAATTTCCCACATACTTTATTTTGCGCGAGCAGATAGTACAATCACTAATTAATCCGGCAAATGGATAGGTTGAATGAACATCTGCAGCCGTCCAAGTCAACAGTTGGACAAATAGCAAGACAAACTGCAAAATCATAAGCGGAATATTTTAGTCTAAAACACACGTGCTATCATAATGTACTTTCCATCTTAGTTAAAATTCCGCAAATTTGATACCAGTGGACAACAGCGTAGAAGACTGTCGAACCATAATCGTGAAACTTTCCCGGCTATCCCTCACTTTATCAAACAAAAATCCTTCCGGACTGCGAGTTCCCTACCTTCTTTACTTTGCCTGAGCAGATAATAAGAACAGCAATCAACTGATCCCATATATACATATATTCACTCAACATAGGTGCACACCGATCCATTGGCTTCCCGACGCTAAGTATGGGTGATAAAGATCCCGAACAGGCCACCACCCACCAGGCCAAAATATGCTAAGCTGTGATAACAGAAGGGAGGTGATAGCGTATGGTGGTAGAATGATACAGCACTGTTTGGGGCTTGTCTCCCATCATTCAGCCAATCATCACTTCGACCACCAGCTGGGACCGGAAGCATAAACATTCGCACAGAAACACCTAGTGTAGACGACGGATAACGAGTAAGTGTTACCAACTTGAAAATTCACGAGTACAACTCGATTCTACTGAAGAGTCTTCTCGTTTTTATTGTATCACTTTTGAATACAGAGCACGCCAGTTATTTAAATATATATTTAAACATAGTTAAGCTACTGTTGTCACGGTCGAAAAGTCGACTTCCAAGTACACATGCTATTCCACAACATATACTGTGAGGCACTACTTTAACGTTCGAACATTATGGAAGCGTGCACATACTACTGCCTCTTAATTACCAAAGCGTGATGTGCATCAATTTTCAAGGGGATCCCTGTTTCCGATGTCCTTTAGTGGACAGATAAAAAACTAAATGGTAAAAGGCATCGAGAACAAAAAGTTTTAAAAAACTTAATCCTTAACGTGGGCGGCCACCTGGGACATCCACAGAGTGTACAGCGTATTTTAAATCAAAATTAGTGGAGGCCAGATGTGACTGATTCTCACTCACGGAATGACACCCATTATAAAGAAAATGCTGCAAAATCAACTTGAGAAGGGACCCAGAAGCAAACTGACGAGTCACTCGTTAAGGCGTCAAATTCCAAATAAAGTCAGGACAAATACATTTTGCTCACATGAATGATAGCATTAAGCTTCAAATTTGAATCTTAATGCTAGCATTGTTTGAAGGGAATTCCACCAATTTCGGTTTAACAACTTCCTAAGCTAAGAGGTGTGGAGAATTTTGCCTATCGGTTCGAGAATCCTAATACTTCCAAGGAAAAGCAAACAAGATTATGCGTTGTGTTTGTGCACATATGCACAAAATAATATAACATAGCGAAGCAAGCACAACTATCTTAATTAAGAGTACTAGTTCAAAGATATGGCGACTAGGTCTGGAAATAAAACCTACCCATGTTAAGCCGTGTTAACTACTGCGCAAGACTCAGCTTCCCATCGACTTTTAGACAAACCGCAGACTCCACTTTTCGAGGTTGCACCAAAAACGTTGGACATCTTGAAGGGTTTAAACAACGCTTTTATGGAATTGAGCTATGTCATGTTTCAGCGAGTGACAGGTGAAAAGGAAGGTCACACCAACAAAAAAAAGGTTATTGAATATTCTGATACTTGTTCGCTAAATTCCGCGCTGGCATACGTATGTCGCGATTACTTGGAATAATCACCAGAAATCCTAAAGTGCATTGTGGGTGTTGTAGTAAGCAGGCATGCGGAAACGATAAAGGCAGCAATAAACGAGGTGCGTATGCTAAAAAAGACGTGCGCAAGCTCACAGATAAGATTCGGAATACGGGGAACTCCAATTCGCTTTCCCTGTGAGACTTGAATGATAAGTGAAGCGGAGATTTAGAATCACATATTCTATCTGCATTTAAGTCTTGAGCAATTTTGTAAAAAATCAGATTATACAAAACCTTCATTTTATCACCAATTTGTATGTTTTGCCCGTTTTTTGTGGTACCTTCTGCACGTGTTATATCTTTCATGTGAACAATTCCGTAAGCAACAAATAATGTTTCCTCCTGCGTTCCGCTCCGGCTTATTACTGTGCTTAGGTTTCTGATGCATCAACATACCTTGAGACAAAAGGGCGAAACAAGATGGGTTTTTAGATTTTGTAGGGAATCAGGGCACTTATTATGTGGCCTGAAAGAAGACTATTTTCCCGACAGGTCATTATATTTTATAGGTCATAGGCAGTGCATTTGAAAACCCTATTGAAAACGGTACACGCAAGATCTAGCATACAATAAATGCGTTTCTAAGATTCTGTCAGTAATATATATGTATAGCAGAATATTCTGCTTAAAATGTAGGACCGAACTCGAGAACACCCAGTTGTATGTTATAAAATGAAAAGACAATCATCAGCTTTAGCGGTAGGTGTGTGCAAGATGTTGGCTTCATATAACAGAGGTGTTCTATCTATTTTAGCAGCAACTTTCAGGAAAGTATACAACTTTTCTTTGTCTAAATGTCTCCGTGGAGTCTGCGATTATCATGTCCTTGGGAAGCCGGATCCAGGCACTGAAGACTCGCTGTGAAAAAACAGTACCTGCAAACGTTCAGGCGACATGGGGATCCTTTGGGTTTCAGTTTATTTCAGTTTATTTGGTAAGGATAATAGGCAAAGCCTTTGAAAACCCTATTGATTACATGTCATTTCGTTAGAAATAACTGTACACGAACAAAAAATATGCACTATAAAAACAGTACTTGGTTCATTTGAGCAGCGTTGTCTCAGAGGAAATGTTTGTGGGGACCAGGGGTATTAGTTCAGATTCAGACCGTCGAGGGAAAACAGGGGACACAAATAATCATCCAAGTGTTTCTTGAACAGTTGCAGGGATGAAGCCTCCACGACTGACTGAGGGAGATCGTTCCATTTCTCCACTACACTCTGCGTGAAAAAATCAGAACGAATATTCAGCCTGGACATTGTTGTCCGTAACTTCATCGAGTGACCACGAAGATTGGGTGAAAGGTGCCACTGAAACATGTCCTCAATTTTAAGTCCATACTCAAGGCCATGTATTATCTTGTAGACGAGGATAAGATCACCTCTTTGCTGCCTGTAACTGAGAGGGAATAAATTAGGGCAA